CTGTGTGCACAAGCAAAGCAAAACAAGGAATTCGTTCACCACTTCCCATGGGTAGGCAGGTATTCAGCCATCTCCAGGAAAGCAGGGCTCCATTACGGCTAATGCTTACTTGGGAAGACAAATGCCGTCACAAATATCCCCTCCTTCCTCCTTCTTCCCTGAAGCTGTTATTGCTGAGCATGACATCATATGGTATGGAATATCCTTTTGGTCAGTTGGGGTCATCTGTCCTGGCTGTGTCCCCTCCCAATTTCTTGCCCACCCGCAGTGAGAAACAGAAAAGGTCTTGACTTTGTGTAAGCACTGCTCAGCAATAACGAAAACATCCCTGTTTATCAACACTGTTTCGGTCACAAATCCAAAACACAGCACCATACAAGCTACCCTAAAGAAAATTAACTCTATCTCAGCCAAAACCAGTACAATGAAAAAGAGGAGTCTTCATCTAAAACAGTCATTTTGATTTTCTTGTTATTATTTTGGATTTTTTTATTAAATAGTGGATAATATCCAGAAACCATCTCATAGTATACTTCTATTCTTGTATTATTTCTATTCATATCAGTAGTATTGAAGAATACTGTTTTCCCATTTCTGTATATGTCTGAGAAAGTAATTAGATATTGAACAGTCAAAATAGTACGTGGCACTACTATAGGGACTTGTGTACATGTGTTGTGGAGTATAAATAGTACTCATTGGTAAGAAAATAGTTTTAAGCCAGAGTGCAAAAAAAGCTAAAGGCATGACAATCTCATTAGAATTTCAGGAATAGGATAAAACATTGATGGGTTTGGGGCACGGGGGTAGTTTACTCTTGCTTCTCAGTTGTTAATGTATAAAGCTATAAAAAAGCAAGCAAACCATATAATTATAAATTATATATTTTGATTGTTCTTCTCACACAGTCCTCCACCTAGCCCCTCAGGAACGATGACCATTACTGCTGGACATGCTCATTACCAATCTGTTCCAGTCTATGAGATGAAGTTTCCAGATCTTTGTGTGTATTAAGTGTCTTCTGAAGTCTGCTGGACATTATTTAGAGTAGAGTACAATAGAAAGAACAAGATGAGTTTTCAAATTTTATTGTTTATTTCATCTAAACTAACTTTAATTTAGTGATGGACATGAGCCAAATACAGATTACCCTAGCCAAACTCATGAGACTGTCCTGAGTTGTTTTCTTCTGTAATATATTTGAAATTAGGTTTTTCATATATCATGATTCTTCATATCTGAGTACATGTAAAAGTCAGATTTAAAACTTGTCTTTCCCTATAGATGAATATTTCAGTTACTCTAGGAATTTCTGTAAATTCCTTTAATTTGAGGCATTGTAACTGAAGAACCTGTTAAAGCTGTTTCTTTTTTTCTTTTTTGTTGTTGTTGTTTGGTTTTTTCTTCCTCTCCACCTCAATTATATATCTAAATAGAATGCTTTTGGCTTGCTTCATCTTAATAAATGTGACCAGTGGAGCACTACCTTAGCTCCCTTTTGTTCATGCTGTCATAGCTAGTCATAGTTTAATTTGGAATATATGGAAAAAAACAATACTTTACATGTGTTCAAGTACAGTAAATGAATTAATGGACACTTGTTAAGTATTTTTGATTCGTCACATAACGTGCTTTTTAGATATATACACCCAGTATATGTCCTGTGTTTCTTGCTAAAAGTTAACTGCTTTGCATAAGAGAGGAGAAATCTCCTCTTGAAGCACTGAGCTGTGCAATATTTTTCATGTCTTAAGGTGTATGGTTTACAGACTGTACTTCTGAAAATGCAGTAGTATTTTACTGTCTGCTTTAGTAAAAATACATGAGAGATATATTTAGTATACCAGAAAACAAACTGAGGGCATTTTAAATGATAAGCATAGAAATTACAAATATATTCTATGAGGTATTTCTCTGTAGTTTATTACAGCTTTTTAATGACATTTTAGAAATTGAAAGAAAACTGGATGAAACGGTTTAAAGACCAAGAATTTATTATGTATGTTTTCAAGCAAAAGCATTTTTAGAGATGCATCTCTGTGTTCGTTTTTGTTTCATTTCTCAAACCTTTCTAGAAATAAGGAAAATGTGGTAACTTTCATAGGTTTATGTATCTGACTATACTATTCCAATGTAAATAAAGTAAAACTGATACAGTAAATCACTTAGCTTTTGATGAATAGTTGTCAATGCTGTCTTTATGACTCACTAAATTCTGCAGGCAAAAGGAAAAAACAGCTTTCACTGATTCCATGAATAGCAACTTTGAACTCCCTTAATCTATCTCAATCTGACTGAAGCAGCATAAACATGAATGAACGTTCTCAAATAATAATATCTCTACAATACATGTAAGACATTAAGTTAGCCAGCAGTTTAGATAAACAGTGATCAGGCCATGAACAAAGTGATCTAACTTCAGTTAGCCCTGCTTTGAGCAGGAGCTTGGTTTAGATGACCTTCAGAAGTCCCAACCTAAATTAATCTATGATTGCGTAATTGTAAGATCTGAATGGTTATCAGGCCAGCTAATTTGCTGACTGTTTTGAGCATTTGCAAACCCACTGTAAAAGAGATTTTAAGTTTTTTGAACTGTAGACCCTGGACTACTTTTAAAAGCCTGATGTGTGAGGTAACATCAGAGAAATATCAGCTACTTAAACCTATGAGATAACATGCTGAGACTTTCGGAAAGCGTTTACAAAACTCAAAAGGTAATTGAGACCTTCTTTTCAGTTTAACAGTGCAATCACAGCTGTTAGTGGATGACGAAACAGCCCCTTATCTACAGCATTCCGTTGTGATTTTTACTGCTGCAGCGTATCAGCCTGATCAGACCACAGTCTACACATAAATAGGACTCTAGATTTAGTTTTCACTTTTTTTTTTTAAGGTAAGACATAACAGTGTTTTGGCCTGTATAAAGAGTGTTATTTTTTAAATAGTAAATCTAACGTAGGGATACAATGTAAAACACTTACCCATTCTGTCATTTTTTTAAGAATAACACTGTGCACTTTTATACAAAAAGAACATAAAGAGTCTAAGAAATAAAGAATGTATTTGTTTGCACTCTTGCAGTATGGAGACTGTGCTGTAAATACAGGATTGTTTCCGTGGTTGAATTCTGTTGCATGAATGCTGCATGTGAAAATAACCAGATTCAGCATTTCATTTTCTGTTCTGTTGATGAAGTATTTTTCGTTTATGCTAATGATAAGTTTCCATGTTTTCAATGTTCAAGTGAGCTTTGTTTGGGAAATGCAGGTGTTATGCAGGTATTGTGCAGGGAATGAAGAGTTTGTAACACTCTGTGTGTTCACATGGTATTTAATTTCTTCCTTTCTGGAAATTCAGGGAGTCAGTAAGTTGATAATTGGTTCACTCTGGCCTTTCTGGGCAGCTCTGAGATGGGAGTGACTGTAAAATGTGTTGTTTTGGTAGCTATTGTGATATGTAGCTAATGAATGAAACCAAATGAATTAAGGATGCTGTTGTACAGTATAAAGCTGCTTTGTTTCACTTACCTCTTTATGTTCTTGACATGAGTTGCAGAACTTGAAAGCTCCATATGCATACTGGCCCTGTGTTATCTGCAACACACTGAGTACTGTCACCGTGTTTATAAACTGGTATCCAGCTGTTTAAATGTATTCCAGCTTTTGCTTTGGGTTCTCTTTCCCATTGTGTCATTTTAAAAAATAAGAGCTTTTGGTAGTGGGTCACTTTAAAATAAACTGAATCCTTGGTAATTTGAAAAGATAGAAATAGCCTGTTGTCCAAAATCAGAGTAGGGCTGATTTGTGCATTGTTCTGATGGTCACATATTCTGTACTGTACGTAATGAACCAGTTTCAGTAAATGTAAGAACACACTGTGCAATCTATATTTAAGCAATAAAATAAACCAAAATTGAAAATTAATCTTTTCTAAGATGTCTGTTAATTTTTATTGCTCACAATTAAAATGTCAGTGATAGCCTTTCAGTACTTAAAGGGGGCTTATAAGAAAGATAGGGACAGACTTTTTAGCAGGGCCTGTTGCAACAGGACAAGGGGTCATGGTTTTAAAGGAAAAGAAGGTGGAGTTAGACTAGAGGTAAGGAAAAAATTTTCACGACGATGGTGGTGAAACCCTGGCACAGGATGCCCAGAGAGGTGGTAGATGCCCCACCCCTGGAAACATTCAGAGTCAGGTTGGACGGGGCTCTGAGCAACCTGATCGAGTTGAAGATGTCCCTGCTCATTGCAGGGGGGTTGGACTAGATGGCCTTTAAAGGTCCCTTTCCAACCCAAAGATTCTATGATTCTATGATAATTTTTTTGGCATTTAAAATAGACCTCATTTGACAGACCTTTTTTTTTTATTGCAAATGTTATAGCATTGCAGCATTATTAAACTACTACTTTTATTTATGATTAAACCATTACTATTACCATGACCACCAAAATTCAGAATGCAACAATACAAAATGCCTCTTGTTTTTGGTAGCATTAATTTATTTAAATGGTTTTCATAGTACACCCTGAGAGAAGTAGGAAGAAGAATTCTTTTTTTCTATTTTGAGGAAGTTGTGACCTTCTCTAGCCCACAAGAAGTGTATCCTGATACCTAGAGGATTATGTTGCCTTTTTTTCCCTTGCTCCTCAGTTCCTAATTTTTGCAGATCTTAAAACTTTGTGTATATTTAGGAAATTTTAGAGGGTAGATGTCGTCTTTCTATAATCTCTGACTTCTCATGGGTCTCGGAACCTGCTATTAAGATGTGTGGTCATCAGCTTTTTTTGTTGCTCAGGTTGGTCTGAGCAGGATTTTGACAAGGGATGCCTCAAAAAAATCTGGGGAGAAAATAGCCACACTTGGGACGTTATTTTAAATTATATCTAAAGAGAAGGTGGAGAGGTGAATAAGAGATTCTGTCACCCTACCGCATGATTCCAGACAAGGAGGGATGTAAGTGGCAGCCACTGCAGTTGTAAGACAAAACAAAAGTGACCTGTTACGAGCTGCTTTCTGGCTGCCGGGGGAGTTTCTGTCTGGAAGTTTTTTGCTTCTTCACAGTGTTGCCTTTATTTGAAAGACAACTCATTCATTGCTCAGTTTTAACGATACTGTGCTCAAGATGACCAGTTCATCTGAATCTGGTGTTCAGAGTTCATGTCTTCCTAAATTATGTCAAGTTGTTTATGAAATCATATTCCCAAATCTTTAATACTTTATCAGCTCACAGGCAAAGGATAAGTGCTTAAAAAGTTAAAGTAAATCAGCGTCTAATGAAGTAGGAAATCTTTTTAGATTAGTAATTAATAGATTAGTTGTTCACTTTCAGGAAACAACTAGGTTTTGGCCAGCTACACCCCAAATCTTTGAAAAATACAGTGTAAAGCTACTGTGAGAATGGGAGAAGAAATAAAAAAGCTGTGCTAAATGTCTATCTTATTCTGCTTATTGTTTTATTATTTTAGCACTGGTCTCTGAGAATGAATAAATACAGCTAATCATAGCTGTATTTTATTTAAGACTTCTCTTTATCAACACAATTCATATATTAGTAATTACTCTACGGAACAGCTTTGGTGTTAGATTCTTCCTGAAATGTGATATACTGGTACAAAGCCCAAAGGAAGTAATGACAACATTGCCTGAATAACAGCTTATTTATCTTGTAATTTCTCTGTTACTTCATCGATACAAATGATCCATCTCTATCTCTGCAGCCAGAAAATTCAGCGTATCTCTGAGTGAATATATGCATGTTATTTGCGTAACCATGAGTGTAATACTATTTCTAATAATTAGCGGAAAAGGATTTTTTTATCTTAAGCCTGTATTTTAAATGCAGCCTTCATAGCAGCGGCACTGCTATCATCAATCAGGGAAATGAGCTTGTGTTGTTATTACGCAGCAATGCACTTAATTCGCTTGTTTAAAGGCCAATTTTCCCCATTTCAGCTAATTAGCTATCTGACCTTTTCATTATCATTTTTATTTATAACTGCTGTGAAATATAAAACAGTTTTTCATCACTATGATAAAAGGCTGATAAAAGTTCCAATTCTGAAACAAGTAAACGTATCAGTGTAATGCAG